ATATATATTATAGGGTTAAAATAGTAACTTAATTTTGATTTTTTACAATTAAAAAAACTTTTATCTTTTAAAAGATAAAAAAACTATTTTTGACAAGTGATAACTAATTAATGAGTTTTCATTAATAATGAATTTGAATTTGAATTTTCATCTTGTTACTTCACTTCCTCATTTGTTTGAGATAAAATATCAACAGTTGACATTTATCGGAATTTTTATCACCTCTTTTGTTTCATCCTCTCTTTCTACCTATTTTTTTTTTATCCATCTTCTACCTATATATTTATTAATATTTATATTTGAATCATTCTTTTTTCTATTTATATTACTTAACCTTGAGCAAATTTTTCCCCTTACCTTTCATAATCTAGAGTTAAAGGAAATGCCGAAATGGTATTTGCTAAAAGCATGTAGAAGTGATTTTCTTATTAGTGTTTTTTTCTCACTGTCCTCTGTTTTTCTTCTTCTTTTATATATAAGTGTTATTATCTTATATTCGTATGTTGATCTTATCTTCAATTTTTTTTTGTTCTTCTTCTTCTTCTCTATATTTTTTCTTACTATGTATTTCTTATATCCATTTTATGAACTTATTTTTAATTTGTTTTTTTCTATTTTTTTTTTTTTTTGCATTGTCTCTCTTAGTTTAGCTGTCACAAGTTTAAATCCATCAAATGCAAGAGTGAAAAAATACAAGTAATCATGACCAATATATTTTGTATTTTGTATTTCGTTCTTTTTCTATTTTGTTAACTTTCTTGGTATGCGTTTTGATTTTTACTCTATTGGTCTTGAAGTTTATCTTCAACCTGTTCAAGCCCACCAAATGCAAAGTTGTAAAAGAAGTACTACATGTAATAATAATTGACATATTGACTTATTTCCTCCCTTTCTTTTCGTCATTCTTTTTCAATTCTGTTAACTTTGTTGGTTAGTGTTCTAACTTTTTATTAGTATTGAAATTGTAAATGTAATATATTGTGAATAAACATTTTTTCTCTTTTTTATCTCATCCTTGTAACACTCTGAGTCTTAGAATATTGCTATTGATTTATTTAATTATATATGTTATTGTTGATAATTGTTGTTTTGTGTGGAGGGACATTGAAATTCAAGAATGCCTCATGAGTTTTTAGATAGTTTAAGGTTTTTAAGAATTGGGTTTCAAGAGTTTAGTTCTTTAGAAATCTAGAGAGAGAAGCTTAGAGAGGGGAACTCTGGTTTGGAAGTTCTCTTTTACCTTAACTTTTATCTTGTAGGGTGATTCTTTCTCGAATACCTCATTCTAGTTGTTTTACTTATTGATTCAGGTCAGTAGGAGCTCGAATCAAGATGGTTGATCCATTTGGAGTCATTCCATGGTTGCTTGGAGTTGGTTTCTCCTTCTTCCTTCTCCTTTCTTTATGGCTTAAAATTCCTTAAGTAAGGGAAGCTAGCTTCTTTGTGTTGTTGAATTAATGGGTTATTAGGGAGTTTATTGTATGATTGAGATGCTAAATCATTACAATTATATGGTGAAGTAACATGATTCTTAATGGTTGTAGTTAAACTCAAGGTTTTGAGCTCATGAAGGTGAATTTGATTATTTTTGGTGATTTTTGGTTGCATGTTGATTTCTGTGTTGGATTTGAGTTGGGTAAAGTGCATTGGCGTGTTATTTGATGTTACATGTTGTGGATTTGTTGAGTTTCAGGCGTTAGAAGCTAGATTCTCGATTTGCACAAGTGAAAAATTCTTGTTATGCACTTCAAACTAAGGGTTCCTGTCTTGATCACAGTGAAAGCAAGATTGGTAGCATCATGCGTGAGGAGAGAGAATCATCACATGTTAAAATGACACTAAGTGTGATGTGAATAGAGATGGACATGAGGAGAGAGAATCGACTTAGGTTAGTTTGAGGTCGGACGTGGAATTTTACCATGCTAGGCATGAGGTCCTAAGGGGCTCTACCTAATCCATGTCAGGCGTGGGCAAGGTTAAGGATCCCCTACCTCGATGTCACTGGGCACTAGTTGTGTGACATCAAATGCTGATTGCTGGATAAAAAACTTGTTGTTTAACCTCATAAATGGTGAATATGGGTAGAGTAGATTAATCTATTGCATGTTTTAAGTTGATAAATGTTGTTCATGCTATATACATTGATCTAGGATGATGTTTATAGATGATAATAGTTGAAAGTTAAGTTGAGTTGTTGGCGATTAATTGAGTAGATGTTTATAAATGATAATTAGTTGAAAGTTAAGTTGAGTTGTTGGCGATTCAATTGAGTAGTTGTATTGAATATGTTTGATGTATTATGTTGTATGTAGTTATGATGTTGATGTTGGAAATATTTAAGCCATGGTGTTGAAAGTTGTGTTGAACAACTTAGGACTAGAGGGGAGGTCATTTTAAAGTTGAATATCTCATTGTGAGGATATTGTATCGTGGTACTTTAAGAGTCCAATTCGTTAAACACTCTTCTCGGGGGAAGTTGACCCATGAAGAGGATAGTTGAGTCTTTTCCAAGACCATAGTTGATGTAGTATGTGGGTCAGGTCAATGCATACCGACTATAAATGACCATAGTATAAGGGTCAAGTCAATCTACATTAATTACAAGCAACCAACTTGAGTAAAGTACAAAGTTGGAGGCTTAGTCCCTAACTGAATATCAAAAGGACATAGTATTTGGAGGATAGTCAATGAACTAATCTCATAGAAAGGTTAATTAAGTTAACTAATGTCATGGTAGGCTTAGACTTAAGTTTTTCTACTCTAACATGAATACTAGAATTCCAGTTGAAGTAGTGACATCTAAGAAACCATATTATAGAGATTGATATCCCATTTGGTTATTGATCTAGTCGGTGTAAAAAGATCGAGCTATTAGTTTGGTAGGTCAAACCACTTAGACTACTCACATGTGATATAAGAGATCTTTGCAATTGAAATGTGTGACAACGCATTAATTAGTTGATAGTTGTGCATAGTTGTGTTGCTTGAATTGTGTTGTACATATGCAATGTTGGTAATGTTGATTGTGTTATGACATTGAATTCAGTTGAATATGGGAGTAAATGATTGTTAATTCATTATATTTTATGTTGTTAATGTTGACTCTTTGAACTCTAACTTATCCTTATTTGTTTTCATGTGGTTGGACTACAATGATCTTACCCTTAGTTGTAGAGTGAAGGCCTTTGGGTGGATGGTGGAGTTGATGCCTTTTGGTGCTACTATTGTGTAGCTTTTGTATAGACATTGCTTGACCAATGTTGAGATTTCCGTTGAAGTACTTTTTTTATAATTGTAAATCAGTTTAATTCTATCAACGGTCTCAAACACGGCAAGTATACCGGCCGTTCAAGTAGTAAAAATATCGTATCCACAGGGATTAGAAGGTAAAATAAGCATTTATTGACTATTCGTGACTAAAGAATAATTCCAATTTCATGGTTTGTCATGTGAATTCAAGGTTATGACTATTGGAATGTTAAACTATAAAAATAATTGATTTTGAGTGGAAAAGGATAGGAATGGTGTAATGGTTTTGTGGGATTGTGGGGTCAGATTTCACCGAACATCTAATGAATCCTTAATCTCTTGTTCCATACATTGCTTAGTCAACCCATAAGTTTACTCAAACCTAATCCCTTAGAGAAAGAGCCTAGGTGTGGATATTGACTATCAATCCCTTGAGTACCCAATATCTACACCCGCATTACGGGCTAGGGTTTAAGACTACTAATTAATGGGTCAAGCTCTATCCCTAGATACAATCACCACTAGACATATGTTTCAGAACTAGTTTCAATGGTATTTCCCAATACTCAATGGAACCTTAAATTATGCAAAGGGTGATCAATCCAAAGCAAGCATTAAACATAGAGACATACACAACAAAGAATGAAACAACACATATATATATCATTAAAAACGTAAGGATTACAAAAGAGTACGTTGGTTACATCTAACCCCACAAAAATGGGTAGAACCACTCAACAATGAAGGTAAAGTAAAAATAGAGATGGAAGAGAGAAATGAAGAAACCGAAGGAAAGATCCACACCCGAACGTTCCCAAGCTCGGAGAATCCTTTCTACCGCTCCAAGGAGGCGCCCCTGCGTGAATGGGGGGAAAAGCCCCTGAAAATGCCTTCAAATACGAGCTTGGGGAGATCAGATTAGGGTTTCGCGCCCGACGCATCATTCTTCGCGCCCGGCGCATGGCCTTCCAGGGAAGTTCAGCACTTCCTGCCTCAGTACACGCCCGGCGCAATTCCTATTGCGCCCGGCACAATGTCTTCCAGAGAAAATCTCTGTCTCGATCACGCCCGGCGCGGTTAATGTTGCGCCCGGCGTAGCCACTATGCTCTGCTCCTTAGCTCCTTAGATTTCCAATCCTAAGAGTCTTCAACTTTTCACTCTTCACTCAATACCTGCACAA